TCTGAGTCCCCACGCACTCCCATATGCCTCTGAGTGGATTCATACCGCATTCGGACCCATTGTCTTGCCTGCGCCGTTACAGATATCTGTCCGGATCCCTACTGCTTCGTATCACAGGGTTAGTTATGAAACCTGACGGGTAGAGGAGCAGGGCATATAGAAATGCAAACTAGGTAGATTAAGCGAAGGTGTAAGGTGTAAGGCCGGATGTCCCAGAACGGGCCAGTATGGCCTCACCTGACCTGTGCTTCGTTTTGAAGCATGAATCCTAACAAGCGAGGCTTGGCAGCGATTCGTCTCTCTTACAATACACTCCTATTTCTCCGAAACCTTGCTCTCAGTGCCATCCGTGCTATTTACTATCCTATCTTTACATAAGGTGTAAATCTGAGTCTGAGGAGCGAGAAAGAGAGGGTTCCAAGCTGACTGTAGGTTGGATAGAATCGAGCTAGTCTTAAAAAGGTAGACACTAGTTCTAAGTAGGAAATTAAGGTGATCTAAGGACCCACTTTCACCCTCACACATGGTTATGTGAACTAAAGTCACGTTCGATACTTCAACCTCCTTGTCACGATCAGGATGCTCAAGCTACAAACAAGAGGTGGTGTAACTCAAATAGATTTAACTGAGGAGCAGAGGTGCTGCTTCGAAGGAAGATCTACCCCTGCCAAGGCCTAGGCGAGGCCCTAGGCCTGAAGAGAGAACTAGCCTCCAGGATGTAGCGTGACGCACCGTCACACTCCTCTACATATACACTGTTTAGTGTATTGCGTGGCCTGCAGTCTGTAAATTCTTCGATGCAGTTTATAGACATTAAGGTTGTGTCCTAGAAAACTTACAATGTATTCGTTAGCTTAGCAGATGTAAGAGCTGTTAATTAGATTAGAAATGTATCACAGTTATCTAGCCCCAAAGTGTAAGGACGGAGCTCTATACCACTGCGTCAATACAACCAAAAGGCGCGAATAATCAACCAAGATTTGATTCTGCGTACAGAATAGTATATATACCTGTCACGCGTAAGGACCGTCGCACAAGCCGCTTCCGGTCTTACGATGCATTATCATCCTTTGGAAGGACTAGCGGCCTTACACCAAGTACCCTAAGGGCTTAGCATTAGGTATACAAGCTTCTCGGCCTCCGTGCCTCTGCCCCTAACACTAAGGATCACTCTCTTTCTACCTCTATCCTAAATTCTCTCTGTACTTGCGCTTCCTGCTTAATACCTGTCACAGAATGTATAATATAATAGATAATAGTATTCTTGTAACGGCGCAGGTAAGACAGTAGGTCTGAATGCGGTGTGAATCCACTCAGAGGCATATGGGAGTGCGTGGGGACTCAGAAACCTGGGAATTCTATTGACACCTATGGCCTTGTACAAAAGGATATGAGAAACTACCGAGCTAGCTAAGGGGAGAGGTGAAGCCAAATACTTGGAGATAAGGGTAGCGCAGGGGGCTGTAACGGTGCAGGCAAGACAATGGGACCTAATGCGGTGTGAATCCACTCAGAGGCATATGGGAGTGTGTGGGGACTCAGAAACCTGGGAATTCCATTGACACCTATAGGCCTTGTACGAAAGGATATCAGAAAACTACCGAGCTAGCTACGGGGGAGGTGCGACTAAATACTTGGGGGAATAGGGGTACAGCAGGGGGCAGGGCAGGGTCGGGGCAGATACGCGGATCCTTCGGATATAGGTTTGTCAGGTAACTTTGAATAGAACGATTTATGCGAATCGTTACAATTCTAGAGAGAAAAAAGAACACATTTAAGACCTAGATTTTCTACAATAAAGTGTTACACTACTAGAAGCTTTGCTGTTTTAAGAAATTACTACACAGATAGATTCGATTTTCTTAGATCTTAAATTACTAGATTTCTTACAGAGAAGAAAGTAAAAAGCGGGAGGATCTAGAATTTTATAACAAAATAAGAGTCTAATATTATAAGTCTATTGTACTTCAGCTATGCACTAAATGCTAACCTTTAGTTATAAGACCCGACTTCTAAACGCGAAAATAGGTAAAAATGGCGTGTTCCTACCGCTTAAATATCACACAGACTGCTAAACTCTAGCTGGCGCTAGCCACAAACCTTAGCCACAGTGGGAACTAATGCCTTGCTGTCCAATTGTACCTTGTGACGCAGTTCCGGTAACTTTGCACACAAACTGTTCGCTGCAAGGATCTGTCCAGAGTGAGTCAATCGTCCTCCTTGCTAACGTGATTGAGGCGTTTACCTGCCACGGTCAAGTGGACATCTTGTCACTTGATCTAGGGCATGGTCAAAGCTTCACTGTGGCAAATTGGCAAGCTATATATTCATGTTCATCCCCGGCCCTCTATGAAATAGAGAGAATAATAAATAGACTATAGTAAATAATAATAACATAAATGTTCCACAACACCCTAGGGTGCAGATGCATTAGGCTCGTCACGTTCAAACTTGCATATCCATACCCTTCCATGTCCAGTACCAATACCAATCATTTTCTCGGATACCGTCATATCCGAGGGCCGATACTCCGACGGTAGCCACAATAGTTTCTCTAAATTGCATGTTATCCACATACTATCTGAACTCAAACTTAGGCCGATATTGTCATCCGACCCTGATACTAGCCGCGTAGAGTCGTGGGAGAAGGCCACTGACGTGACCAAGTCGCTATGGCCTTGGAGCGTCTGGAGGCAGTCGCCACTGCTCGCATCCCAGATCTTGACTGTATTGTCATATAACCCTGATACTAGCCGCGTAGAGTCGTGGGAGAAGGCCACTAACCTGACCCCCCCGCTATGGCCTTCAAGCGTCAGGAGGCAGGGACTCCATTTCTCTTACATAGCTAGCTTTATTGTGATCTAGCTAGGCTCTTCTATCTTAAAAAGACTTCTTATTAGACTGCAAGTAGGACTAAACATAAGTGCAGACATATACGCCTGAAGAGGACTGTTCTCTATTGCCCTCTTGTGATACATACTAAATTAACGTACGTCTTAAACTTGCTTAATTAATCCCAGTGTACCTACTTGTCCCTATATTATGTTAATATTATAAGTCTTTATATATATTATTGTTAAACTAATACTTACCTAAAGTAATAGCTTAAGTTTTGCTATTAAAACTATCCTAGCCAGCATGCTCTTGCAGAGGCTGAGAGCCTCAAGCTAGTATAGGTACTTCTTGCATGAGCTGAGGAGGGGGCATATGGCAAACGACTCGACAAGGGAGCGAGATCCAAACAAGGTGGATTGAACGAGTGTATTGTAAGGTCTAAGGAGCTCGATAGAGCTCTGGGCTGACTATATACTGTACGAGAGAGGAGCTATGCCTAATGAGTGAATAGTGCAGTGCATGGGTATGATATCGCGTGAGACACGTGCGACAGTACTTTCTCTGCAGAAAGCTGTCAACAGCGCCTCTGTCCTTTAGGTCAACTCTGTAATTTCTACAAGAGTTAGCATTCTAATCATAAAGGTGGTCAATCTAGTAGATACACAAGTAGCGTGACGTCGCTAATAGGTCAGGATCTAGCGGTTTAATTCTCCTAGCAGGATGCCTAAACAAACGTAAGCTGTACATATCCTAATGTAGCGTCTTAGACATAACTTTAAGCAATCTTAAGTAGATGATGTAGTGCGCCTCCTCTGTTCTAAATAGGAAAATTTTGTTAAAGGCCTTTGCAAATAGGAAGTCCCTTGCAGATTAATGTACAAAATACAAAGTGTCCCCTTAAATAGTAAGGAAAGAGTCACACAGGCTAATAATCTCTTGTAACAACCTAAGGTCATTATGCATATTCTTAAGCATCTTAACAAGAGATGTCAGTTCCTTTAGTGTAATTAGTTAGTATACAATCGCGATTAAGGCCAATATTTGCTTACAGAGATAAGAATGTTCTAACTTATATATCTGCTCTGCTATTCGCTTGTAAATAGAATCTAGTCTAGGTAGAAATGCGTTTAACATTGCAACAGTATTCTATCCTGGGATCTTTTTAAAGTTTTAACAGACTAAAGCTACCTAGAGGAAGGTATCATGCGCATGTAAGGATAGATAGTCTAATACAGCGCCTTAAGTTTTGTTGTTGTAATTCTTCTTCTTTGCTAGCTAAAGCACCCTGTGTTTAATAAATATGCTAACTGCTGTAGAAACAGAGTCTGCATTTAGTTCTAGGCAGAGCCTAACTTTATGTCCCGCTCTCTCTAGACGCTCCTTAATGTTAGGCTAGTTGCAACTAGAGACAACCCACTTAGTCTAAGAAGATATAGAGGACTTCTAGATAATAAAGTCTAACAGTTTTGCTAAATCTGCTATACATTTATTAAGCGCGTTAATAATTAAGTAGGCGCTGTTAAAGCTTAGGTCCTTAAGGATGTTTATAAAGATCTTAGACAAGGCAACCTAGGTATTTGTATCCTTAAAAAGGTCCTTGCCAGCATGCTTGTACTTTTTCTGTATATAGGAGACAAGTAATAGTTGCTAGTCAACAAGCATATACAGCAGACCTTGCAGCACAGTTGTGGCGTTGTTGATTCGCAAGTCTGTGGCCTAATAGAAGAAGTAGGACAGGAGATCTGTTTTAATTATTAACTTCTCTAAATTGTTTACAATGCCGCAAAGCAGCATTGTCTTACCCCTACTAGATCCCCTTTAACCCATAGCAGTTGACTCTGTTAGTTGCTACACTATTGTTAGAAGTCTAAGTTCTTAAGAATCTAGTGGTAAGAGTCTAGTAGCAGTCCTCCCTAAGTGTCTTTAATGCGCTTTTTGTTATTAGAGGGGTCAGTTAAGCGTAAATCTTGAAGGCATTTGTTCTGCTTGTTAATCTCCTCCTTAAGCCTTTTAAACGCACTTGCAGATCCTTCTCCATAGCGAAGAGACATTTTGACGTTAAAGATACTAAGTAGTGAGTACGCTTTGTCTTCGTCTACCTTTTTCTTGCGGCATTGCATCCACAAAAATCGCTTAGTGTCGCTAAACTAAGATAAACGTGCTCCTTTAAGCGCTTTATTAGGAATTCTTGTAATTTCATAGATGTGTTGTCTTAGCGATTGTTTGTCGCCAAGTTTCTTCTTGTCTCGGGAGAAGAATTCAACTAAAGTTGGCGCAAGAAGCTCCTGGAGGGTCTAGCCCTGGGTGAACCATTTGCTTTGCCGAAAAGCCTGCTCCCAAGTACATTGAGAGGGATCATCGTCTGCTTTTCGCTTGATTGTTGAAACATCGGAAAGATAGACATAACATCTCACTGCATTCTGATACCAACGAAACATAGAGTTGATAGCGTCCCGAACCTCTACGGGGTTGGAATCATCAATGCAAACTCATACCACACTTGCGACAACATTGACTTTGTTGAACCGCTTACTTAACCTGTAATTTTTACTACTTAGCTTATTTTTTAGATTATGTATAATCCCTTTCTCTAATATTTAAAACTACCTATTTTTACAATCTTTATTAGACGCACATCCTTATGATTAGACCGCTCTAGATTAGAGGCCTAAAACTAGGAACCCCCCTTTTTTCTTATTTATAATAATAGCAGATAATAATTAAGTAAAATCTACTCTAACATAAAGCTGTTTCCGGATCTAATCTTCAGTTACGCAGGGGTGTAACGTGAGTAATGAGTAAGCAGCCTGAGCTCGCCATAAGCCGACGCGAGCCAGCGTGATCGTGCCTGATTTCCTCCCTCTTGCCTAAGCAGCATGAAGAGGGTCTAAATTTGGGCCCCATTAATTTGTAGGGATGTTAGGTGTTTGGAACTAATTAGTCCTATTTTCAGGACCCCATCACGCTTGCTGGGACCAAGAATGGCTGAAGCTTACCTATGAGAGTGCTCCTAAGATCACAAGCTGCCCGGGAGAATTCTTACTCTTGAGGATGCGGCGAGAACATTGATGCTGGGACAGTATGCAACAGAGAGGGCGACGCATTAGCAAACGGTGTGCCAATCTTTGCATGCGAAGCCTTTGCACAGCCCACACACAGCCTCCACATTATGCGCAATTATGATAAAAGCGCTTATATCTCCCTAATACTGTAGCTAACCTTCCTGATCACTTACTAACTGCTATTGTCTTAATTTTTGATTTACAGCTATCCTTGCGGCCTGGAACTGTAGTTGAGTGATACAACTTCTTCACTTCCAAAACTGCAGAGACTGACCCCGATTTCATCCCCAAAGCTGTTTTCCTCTTAATCTGCAGGGCTTAGATCCACATCCTTAAAACTGCAATCTAAGGATATCCTTGAAATGAGCGGCTAGCACTAGATTAATAATAACACTAACGACGCTTCTCACTATGCTTAGACACTTGTATGTGATCATATAGAAACTGTGATGGATTATCATCGGGATCCACAGCCTCCTCCCGCACCTTACAATAACGATGCAACAAAGCTATTTATGATCCATTGTTGTTGCCTTTAAGCAAGATAAGGATGTTGTGCTTGCCCGCCTGGTCAAGGCAGCTGTTGACGTCTAGAATAGGGCAGTTGGCGAGGAATTAACTGCGGTTAATAATTTCCTTCAACAAACTGTAGATACTGTCAGGAGTGGTGGGGCGACATTAGCCGTCTTGCAGAGTGTTCTTAAGACTCTGATACAATGCGACAAAGCATAGAGAAGTGCATTATCTTTAGCAGCGTCTTTGACAAGCAGGGCCCCCTCTAGAATAGAAATATCTGTTACGGCTAAGCTGTTCACAGTTAGCTCCTTAGCAGGACTAGGAGTATATATGTAGCTTGTCTTTTGTTTCTAGTCAATTAACGCAGTTCTCTACTTCACCTTCCTCCTTAGAGCCTTGTTCTGCTCTAACAATATCTGTTAAACGCAAGACGTTTGAGGTTCCTTTCTAGGACTTATTAGAATACTTTTGGAGATTAAAACGTCTAGACACACCTTGTCATAGTTGTCACTAACTATTTCTTGATAGACCACTGCTCTGTACCTTCGCTAGATACGATTCGCAATCATCAACAACTTCAGATATCTATATACGCATTCTTAATTGTTATTTCGCATGCTTACAGTCAGACCGCATATTTTTTATTCTAGTTTCTTACGTCTAGGATGCTTTAATCTGCGTAGCAAACAAATTAGGAGCGCATAATAATAAGGCTGCCCCCTTGCTTATTAATACACTTAAAGCCTTATTTAAGGGCGCAAAAGATGCCTATAATTCTAAGGTAGAGTTTTAGCATAACTACTTTAGTGTTCCCTAATAGCAAACAGCAATTAAGGATTCTATCCTTCTCTACCTTCTATTAATATACAGTCTTGCAGAAGAAATTCTAGTCTATATAGCTAACATTTCACTATCTTCTGCTGCTCTCTTAATTATTAGAAATCAGCGCTAGGCGGATCTTTTGTTGCTCTAAGCATTTAAGGTTATTCCCCTCTTGCGCACCTTGTGTAATTCCTAATAGATGCAACAGATGTAGGTAACTCTTAAGTATTCCTAATGCAAAAGCGCATGCATTATAGATTAGTTAAACTAGATTTAGAGACATTGTAATAAGAATAGCCTGTTCGCTAGAGATACGTTTACGCAACTTGTTAATAGCGGCTAGGCGATGTTAATTAGCTTGTTTCAACATGCCAAAAGTATCGCTCGCAATCTTAGCTTGCTAGGCAAATTCCTTAGTAGAATAGCATCTAGAGAGAATAGCCTACGTTAATTATGCCTTGGTGAAGCGTTGGAGCTGGTTGCTAGGAAGCAATGCTTCTTGTTTCGAGATCGCTTCTTTGCTATCTATATGTTGCTAAACTGTACTGTCGTACCACGGCCACGCAGGGGCCAAAGGAAGCGCACACGTTGGAATTTTTAAATCAAAGATATGACCTACCTCACTTAATTTTCGCCAGAGAGAACGGCAACTACTTGTTCGGACTATGATATGAAGCTACGGTGTAGAACCAAACATTCTGCCTTCGTTGCAAAATGCAGCAGCTAATTACTTTACATTCCCTCCACCGTTGAATTTACTCGACTAATCGTTCTAATACTAGGCTTTGCTCCCTGAACACTGAATGGACCAACTCGTTACATTCGCACCTCGTGGAATCGATGCGAATCATATATATTACCGCCTCCAAAATCATTGGCCATGCCCACCAAGCCTAGGCTCCGGGGCAGCAGTCTCCTCCATCACTGCCGGCTGCGTACCGATATTGAGAACTGTTTGTGATGAGGCAATTTCGGGGTCACCTTGAAGCGTCAATTGGTTCTGGGGTTGGTGTAAGCTATGATACCAATATTTTCACAGGGAGTCAAAGTACCGTGTACTCAAGCGGAAGTTGCAGTACTTTCCCCCACGGGAAATTATCTGCACTAAAATCGTCGCAAGTGAGATCCATGGGGAGCAATGGTGTTTTTCCATCCAGAAGGACTGGATGATCGTTCTTTGGTACGAGGCGACGAAGGTCCACAGAAAATTTCACCGTCGGCTTCACAACCACCTTCATCCACACTGGTTGGCCTGGCTCGTTCAGGAACACAGTAGCAGCTCGAAATTGACGAAAGATACCATCCTTCTGGGCTGCATTTTCCGTCAACTCCCAGGACACTGCATTTGGAGCCTCATCGTGGTCATCATCCCAGTCGAGATTGCCGTGCACCTCCATCCGATTTTCGTGGTGTTCTGCCCGCTCTATGCCTCCCGTTCCAGTGACCCCAGCTGAGAGTCCGATGGGACTTTGGAACAATAGCGGAATCGAAATGTCAAGATATTTGGTCTCATCCACAACCTTTACTATTCCATATACTGACTTCGGTGCTATATTCACCACCTTGGGGTCTTGATTGGGGTCTCCTGAAATAACTCGGTGATCGTTGGCATCAACGGCCCTGGTAAGCTCGACTTCTATTCTTGCGTAGTTGTATCGGCAGGCTCTCTTCGACTGAAAGGAGAAGGAGAAGTCAATCGCAACAAGGCAAGCAGGCTTTGACTTGTAGGTTCCATACTGGACTCTGTTCAATACTGCGCTGAACGAGGTTCCTCCGATGTTTTCCTGGGTGGCTAGCGGTCGATTAACACGGCTTTTGTTCTTGATGCTAAGTGTTGGTGTGGCTTCGGATTCCTCTAGAATGGTATCGAACCTGCCATTGATTGGGTACGCCATTTTCGTGTTGGAATCCAGGGTTGATTGCATAGTGAGTCCGGTTTGACGATCAAGAAAACTTTTGTGACTGATGCGGCTGAGCAGTGCTGGCAAAAATTAAACCAATTGGAACCAATCGACTATCGGCAATTGCCGATTATGGCTAACTAATTATCTGATAATCGGTGCACAGACTAGGTTCAAGAATGATCTTTTCCTACATAAGAGCTACAAAGTACTTTATAAGAGCAAAGTTGTAGAGCTCTGTAAGCACATTCAAACAAGCTACGTATTGTACAAATCTGACATGTTTTGGCAGAGTTATCAAAGAAATACTCTGCAGCCAGCCTGTCGTGGGCAGCAGGCAGCCCCATCAGGCTCGTCTGCTCGCGCGAAACAGTAATTCTGCGATAACTCTGCCAAAACATGTCAGATTTGTACAATACGTAGCTTGTTTGAATGCGCTTACAGAGCTCTACAACTTTGCTCTTATAAAGTACTGTATAGCTCCTACGTAAAAAAAGTTTCAAAAAACCGTGCTGATTAAACCAACTATCGCGATAAACCGATTATGATTGAACCAATCGATAATCGGTTCCAATCGGTTCGCCCCCCAATCGTTGCCAGCACTGCGGCTGAGATCGGCTTGAGTGGGTCGGACTACCTGCACCACTCAACCATTCGAGTTTCAGTCTGGCCAAAGAACACCATAAACCAGAGAAAATAACATGGAGTTTTCTCTATTCGGAGTATCCTGCGCAATTTATAAAGTTTGAGGAGTATCCTTTCAAATTTCTGATACTCTGAAGGGCGTAGGTCACCGACTCCTTCCTAGGTTGTAATTGGTCGGGAATGCCAAGGCATCATTCACAACTTCCTGGGGCTCCTCACTTTACCTACCAAAACACCTATCTTTGAGCGTTAGCAATCCACGCACCCGTTCTTCAGATGTGATAAAGTGAGCGAGTAAGTTTCTATGAAAGTTCTCTAGGAGCATCCTCGCTGACCTGATATAGCCCATCGTGCCCATGGCTTGACAGCGATACGTCGGTCGACATTAGCCTGGACATTAGCGGCCCCGATCTCCTACTCACGGTCTGCAAACTCGTAAGCGCTTGAATAACCATCGGCCGTTGCAGCTCAGTTGGCGACCGGAAGAGTCTCCTGATCGCGATCAAGATGTTGAATACAATCGAGAAGCTCAGACAGTATCGGGCTAAAGGGCAGTTCGACTCTGGTCATGAATATGTCTGTAACCTCGCACAAAGTGTTCAAGAAGATAAACAGGTAGCAATTGAGGTCGCACAGCTCTATCTCGTGCAAGGGCACTTTATTCGGGCACTGGCAGCTTGTGAAAAAGCACGAGTTCCTTTGTTTGATGAGGGCCTTGATGAGTATTCATCCGAAGTGCTCAACGAGGACAGCGTCTGCTTGGAGCTCATTCATGCGTTCGTCAATATATCTCGGCATTCGAAGCTATATACTGCGCTAAGAAAGGCTTCCATAGCGCACAAGTTATGGCTTGGCCAAGAGGGTAATCTCTCTCCTAGATATTTGCTTTTCGAGTGTGCCGTGCTAATCTTGGAGTTACCAGTCGAACAAGAGGTGATGAAGTTGAATATCCCAAGCATGAGTCCTATTGAAATCCAGAGCAAGATTGGAAAAATCATTAAGCAACGTGATGGCCTGGGTGCTCTCCCTTCTGAGCTGGGCAAGGAGCATCGCTCTACGGTGTCAGAATCTCGAGTAAGTCCTTCAAACTCGCTACCTAGCCGTACTCGAATACTTTTAACAGCGCCCAGATTCTCATGGAATATTGGTATTATAAAATTTTCACATCGTGCTCGGAACAAGGCCTTACCGATGAGCCACAAGCCGAAACTAAAAAGCGGGCGAGTAAGCGGATCAGCGATCTCTACACATATGTGGTCCAAAACAATCGACTTCGGGAAGCTCGATACTTACTCTATCATTGCGTCAGCTTACTGGAAGACAACGCGAAAGTACCGCTTATGTTGGGACAATTCTTAGAGTGTCTTGAAGGCACTTCATTCGATGTTGAGAAAGCACAGACACACCTGGACTTAGCGGAATGGCAAATCCGATATACCTTTCCTGCGTCTGCCTCTACAGTTGAGCATCAGTTGCAAGAAGCCAAGCGCCTCTTCGAGAAGACGGATCACACCCATGGCGGTCTGGATGTTGCGGACCTTCGACTACTCTTGCCTAGAGCGTACGAAAACCTTGAGGAACTATTTCGCGCAAAATCTGAGAATGCAGCTGCCTATTTCTCCAAATCCTGCTACCTCAAGGGTCTGAGATGTCTTCTTTTTGCAATCCCCAAAGCCTTCGAGATTGGCACATTGGATAACCTCGTCGAGCAGAGTATCGACCTTCTTCATAAAATCATCTCCCACGTAGGCGCGGAGCTTTACACACAACTTACTTTCATTGATATAACTTCGCAGTCTTTGCTTCGGGCCCCAGAGTATGGGCATGCCCTGCACTCGCTGGAATCATACATCAAGAGTGTGCCAGAAGAAATAGGTCCTAGGTATCACAGCTACTTGTACCTCTCTCTTCGCAAGGTCTATTCATCGCTCGGAAATATTACCGAAGCCAGAGAGTGTGCAAAGAAGGCTCTCGAGATCTCTTCTTGCAACAGAAATTCCTACATCGATCAATCCGATGCAGCACTAGAACTTGCGACTGTAGAATGGGATGCTAGAGTGGAGCATGCCCCCGGATCACCTGAAGAGCTTCGACAAATCGAGAAGGTAATTGATCTCCTCCAAACATGGGCTGAAAAGGATGCTAGTCATTCATACTTGTATGGGGAACGAATGAAGTGTCATGAATTAGGAATCATCGAAAATTACCTCTTCAACTTCCACCATTTCGAAGACGCAGGGAATAAGGCCAAGCAATGGTTCAGTCGCGCTCAGAGAGGAAGCCAAGAAAGTGGCATCCCATCATATGAAGACATCAACGGACGGGTAGACGAACTAATCGCAGTCCGCAACTTTGAAGAGGCTATTAGGTTAGCCAAGAGTGGCTTAGAGCAATGGCAGTCGGCTCCGGATCCCCCTAGATTCCATCTCGCACAAGGATTCTTTCGAGTTGGGACAACACTTCACCTTAGCGCCGGACACATGATTACCTCGGGCTCAGTTGAAACTAGCGAAGATGTCCTAGAATATGCGCGGATATTGATGGAAGCCATGCGGTATTCATATGAGGCTCTAAAAGCCTACCGGAGCACTGGAGGAGCGAAGATGACAGTCACTTGTACCAATCACATATGGCTCGCGATACAAGATATCAAGCAAGTATCGGAAGATGTTGGATTGAAATACCTGGAAGCCTACCTTAGAGAGCTGGAAATTACAGAATCATTTTGTGACAGCATCCGGCGGAGTCTTGCGTCTACGGAGAAGATCCGGTCCCTATTAGTAAAGCGTCAACTCGTTTCTAATGACGATCAGCGAAAGTTCTATAGTCTAGCGACACAAAGCTGCATCCAACTGATGGATCCCGGGTCCGCATGGACATGGATACAAAAGGGCAAGGCCAGAGCGTTGTCGGACCTTTTCGGCATACGTGCGTTTGTGCCTTCTAGCCTCCTTCAAGCCATTCATGACGACCCTGTTGCCCACAAGCTCTACCAACAAGAAATTAAGAGTACCCAGAGTGCTCTCCATGCGTCTCCGCAGGCCTATATCGGCGCTACACGCAAGGTCATGTCAGACCGAGAAGCCATGAAAGCAGTTCCGGTTCTCGCACAACTCCTTGCAATTCGAGAAGGTGCTTTTGATGTTAGCTTGGAAACATCATTCATACAGCAGTCCCTAAATCTGTCCAATATCGGAGGACAAAAGCTGAAGTATGTCGACTGGTACTTTTTGCCGAAGTCAGAGGGATCCACTGAGGCCATTGCCATCTTCGTTCGCGATTTGTCGGGGAATACTTCTATTCGTCAGCTCACGGTCACGGTCTCAGACGTCCAAGAATGGATCCGAAAAGTTTTTGAGCCTCCGGAGGGTGCTGAACCAGAGCTGAAAAGGAAAGCAGGAAACAGAACCTTGTGGGAGCTCAATGGTCTTTTGGATGGTGTTGATGAATATACCGATGAGGGTGACCTGTTGGTTCTGTCTCCTTGCGGTATTTTGAACTCGGTTCCACTCCATGGCCTTAAGGTTGGTGGTCGAGTATTGATAGACAGAAACCTAATCATATACTCGTCAAGCGCTGCCATCTTCAGGCAGTGCCAGGCTCGTGCAGCGGCGTCTGCACATATCTCAACATCTCCCAGCGGGATCAAGGAGGCACATAGTCGCAATGACTTCTTAGCAGTCTACGAAGAAAGCTCAAGTCTTGCAGCCGAAGAGCGGACGAGCATTTTCACCAGCGTCAAGAACATTGCCGAGAGTTTCCGCGGCAACATAAAGTTGGGACAAGAAGTCACTAAGACCGCATTTATGGAAACCTGTCGAGATGCTTCATGGCTTTTCTACCATGGCCATGCTATCTACGACAAGCAAGAACTTTTGGAATCTGGACTCGTATTGAGCGATCACAACTTGACTATCTCCGACATCTTCGATGGCGCTGCAATGCAAAATTCGCCTCATGTAACTGTCATTGCGTGCGACTCGGGAACACAGCAAATTGCGCCCGGCGATGAACCCCTCGGTGTTGTTCCTGCTTTGCTCTTCGCAGGAGCGACATCCGTCCTAGGATGCATCTGGCCAATTGAGAGTTGGGCCGGAAGAATTTTCAGCGAGAAGTTTCACGCACACCTGGCCGCACAGATGACGAATGGAAACAATGAAGGCGGCTCTCACACTGTTGTGAACCTTGCGGCTGCGTTGAGAGATGCGGTCAGGGAGATGATGGATAAGAAGAGTGTTGAGACGAGACTGCCCTACTTTTGGGCTTCATTTGTACTTCACGGATGCTGGTTTCATGCTAGCCCGTGATAAGCGGTGTGAGTTAGTTGGAGTGTGGTGGATTTCGCATCCACTCTCGACCGATGCTTTTCTGTTCCTCTATATCAATGCATCGGCTTCTTTCGAACGACGCGGCCGGCAGTGACAACCCCTCCCAATTAGAAAACTCACCATAACTCCCAAAATATCTGATTCACAGCCACACGAAGCAGCCTCAAAGCGCCCACTTCATCCCTCCCCAAATCACCATGGGCGACTGGGTGCCAAGAGCCGTCCATGTCTTCGATGAGGACAGCAGGCTCCCAGTAGTCTGGGTTGGTGTGCGTGGATTCAACTTGATAGCAGACGTTACGTCTAGAATATACGCGCCCGAAGTCCCCTGCGGAGTTGGAGTCAGCGAGCGTGGAGGCCGCCCGGATGAGCAGCTGGGATTCTTTACGAAGGAGGCGTCTTTAGGTTCTTGATGAGTAGGAATTCTTGGTTCTCAAGACGCAGGTTATCAGGAATACTAGAGTCTTGAGGCGGGCGCTGAGGCCGAGACTGACGTTGAGATTGAGGCTGTGGCCGTGGTTGAGACTTGAGCACCGCTCTGGCGGGAGGTCGATGGACAGAGAGGTAAGTCTTTAGATGGTGTAGCTGTTTCAGAAACCAAAGATAAAGTGATTTGACCCTCCGTCTCGCAGAACCAATGACGCGTCTCTGGCGTTCCATCCCTTCTGAAGGTAGTTAAAATGGATTCTTCAACGAATAGGTGAACAAGTGAAGATAATTCGCGTGTCACAAAAGTTCTTAGAGGGGTCCGAACGAGAAGAGGCCAGAAGTCCACACATTTACCGTGTCGTTATCATTCATTTGTCTCCTTTTCCGAGCAAAACGCGAGTCCAAGCGGCGGTCGACTGAGAATACACACCAAAAAAAATTTCACTGGCGATTCGCGGATACAACAAATCTGAACACCCTGCCTCTTCCAACCGCAATTCCCTCTGAGCCTATGATGATCCCAAATCTTCGATTCGCAAAATACCACTACCATGGTAGGTGTGCGGCTCAATCTAACATAAACTCCCCCCATCGCATTTCATCCATCTACTTCGTATCCCAAATAATCTCCCGCTCGTACTTCCGCATCAAAAACCCCGTCGGATCCTTCTCCTTCACATGTGCCCAAGCCCCCGCAAAATGTATCACAAACATGGCCTTCTGCCAACTCTTCGACAAATTGTCATTACACAGGATCTCTTCAGGGAATGCGTTGATTTTATACTGTGATATCCTCATCGCATGCTTCGTCAGCGGTCCTTCCAGTTTCAGGTAATCGCGCATCGACTCCTGGTCGTTCAAATTGTCTTTTCCTTCGAGGAGGGTCGTGTCATGGAGCGCGCTGACGCCAACGAGGAAAGCCCAGGCGCGCGCTTTGTGGCGCGCACGATGAAGGAGCCGTCATTGAGTCCGTTACTGTGGTCCTAGTCAGCCCAGGGCACATCTCTATCCGAGCTCGAGCTCAACACGCACCAGTCGTCGGTGAGCAGAACGTCGATCTCCTCCGGCGCAGTAACGTTGGATAAACTGTCATGTATGATATCCTCAACCCGGGTCGTCGTGTTCGTAAACAGCGTATCGAAATCAATCCACCAGACCCAGTCGTGCTTGCCGCCGTCGATGACGCGCTGTATCATGTCCCATTTCATTTATGTTGTGCCGCGCGTTGCGTGGGACTCGTAGTCAACGAAAAGATCGTACCCGTGCCACTTTGCGTAGACTGAATCGCAATGAGAAGATTAGCAGCATTACTAGACGGTGCGGGGATCTGCGATTGCGGACATACAGGATTTGTTCATGAGCGAGAGATGGATGTACGATTTCTCAGACGTGACACCCGTCACTATCGCGATGCGAGGCGGCCCTGAATATACCTCCGGAGAGGAGATCGGAGAGGCCTGCGCAGGCGAAGAATATACATATTGTCGGTTGGATGAAGAAAAGACCAAAACCAAACACACTACAACTAGACATAGGCCCATGGTCCTGAAAGAACGAGCGCCGACGATCATATTGAAGAAGGACTTGAACTAAGAGACGGAACTAAAAGAGGGACTTAACGAGACTGTGAAGCTTGCAAGCACAGGACGATGGAGATACTTAACCAAAGCGATACTTTTTTTGCAACGCGCGGTCTCCAACGCGACGTACCTTCCCCTTACTTCAAACTATCGTCCAGCCCACAATAATTTTCCATTTTATGCATGGCTTTGCTTTTGATCGTGTTGAAAAGAACATAAAATTCTCCAACTGTCCAGACGCCTTTCGCTAACCCTCTCGCCAGAACATGACCGGCGGAAAAAGCACAGTCTCGCCTCCCTTTTCTCTCCCGAAAATGTGCTTCCGAAGCTACGACTGAGAAGAACGCCGGGAATGAATCAAGCGAAAAGAGAAACTGAAAACGTGAAAGGAGAAAACCGGCACTGCCGACTTAAAGTAGGAGTTGTCGATTCAGTAACTGGGCTACTTACTTTGGGACTTAGACTAATCGCTTGTGTGGATCTCGGGCCAGCGAAACCCCCTTCAGAGATCAGTCGTCGCCTCCGTTACATATCTGAAGAGTGAGATGCTTTCGCGAACTCTTCCCACGAGTTGAAGTTGTAGTACAAGGTTTTGGTCGCGGTAGAGGTTGAGGGTAAATGGCCGCTGCGGTTGTCCAGTCCGCTTAGTAAGCCGCCTTTTACTACAAGTCCATCCATTGATCGCTACTCGATTAGAGCAAGAAGACTGATGATTAGGACATTGCCATTAGGATCCAAGTGGCCTTCATACTACTAACTTTCCTGAAGTCGAACGTACAACGCACCTGAACTAAGCAACCCCAGACATGGCACGTGTCTCCGCGCTGTAGTACCAACATCTTTAGGCATGTCAATGGGACATTCTATTCCAGACACGGGGCTTCATACTGTCAACTACACTTCCAATATCCCTAGGTTCACCAGGCGCATTCTCCACACCCGCAACTGCCGTTCATCAGCACCACCCAGGCTCTCCACACCCCCAGATTATCCCGCATACACACAACAAATCTCCAGCACGAGCCCAGTCTTCTACAACACGTTGCCATTGCCCAGCTATAAGCCCAGAACTCTCTCAAATGAAGCCTCCTTGGTTCCAAACCAACCGCCATCAAGCTCCGTCTTGACTCCCGAATCCGATATCGACGGTAAAATCAGGCCACTTTACCCATGGGAGGGGTTTTCCAGAGCAGCACTTTTAGATTTTCAGAGCAGAAAATGCCAAGACTGTACCAAGCCCTGAAAAACGTCTGTGCGGGCCCCTAATACCAGCCACACCCCATCAAAATCTGACGTTTTAGCAGAAAACTGGCAGAAAACTCGCGTAAATTTAGATAACACACTGTGATTTGTAGAACTAAGCTCTAGAATTATTCTACAGATCTATGTACAACAGTACGGCCTAGCTAAACAGGCAGCCCTAGCTACAATAAGCAACTAAATGTAGCCCTGTTTAAGGCGGTAAGGGCGGTGGCCAAGGCGGTAAGGCCCACTTACAAAGGTGGTGGCCATGTGGTGGGGGCGTGGCTAAGCCGACAGCTAAACCAATAAGAGGCCGCAGCCGCTGTGGCTTAACAGTCTTGGCATTTTCTGCTCCGAAAGTCTAAAAGTGCTGCTCCGGAAAACCCCTCCCTTACAGTCATTCCAAAAAGTCTGTCCCATGGCCTGAGCACTCGCTTATGAGCTCAGGGGACTCGGAAAAATCCCCCCCACCCAAATTAGTACTGCAGGCCTTTCCCTGACCCCTAACCACGCATCTAGAGCTCTAGAAAAGCCTAAAAAATCCTTTATTATTTAATTTTAACGCTACAGCTCCTTCTTAATTAGGTAATTAACAACAGCCTACTAAGATAAGCTAGTCCTTTTGTGTCACGATTGTGCACGAGTAAGGTTATAGAGCTTCACAGAGGTCTAGTTCAATTACTACGTGAGGTATTATAGTAGGTACAAGACGTTGTGTAAGGAATAAGAAAGTTTAAAAGGAAATTAGTAATTAAATACTTAGCTTAAAAGTTTAAGCGCTTTAGGTATAAATTAAGCCTATTCTAGGTTTAGTTAGTGTTAAGGCAGTTTATGCTTAAGTTTATATCTATATTATGTTATGTTTATGTTAGACGTGCACTAATAATACTCTAGTACACGTCTAATACAGTTATGTCTAAGATCTAGGGAGGATACTATAACAGTACCCCCCCCCTTATTAAGAAGGGAATCCTTTACATTAGTAGTTTTAGCATTAGGTTGTCTTTATTAGAGTAACATGGTCCACAAGCGAATGTTCAACACAAGCGAGTGTTCTGCCCCACCACCAAAACGCAGCTAACCTACTACTAACTGCGATGCATTAACAACTATATAATTAATTATCTTTAAAAGAGGCTAGAATTAACCTAGCTATTTAAGCTTTTAATAGAGACACGTCTTTAACTAAGAGGCGCGCTGCAGCACTTTATAATGTTAATTAAATAGCTCTCTGCTAACAACGCGCAGGGATAACTATGCAACGCAACTGTATAGCTAACAACAAGAAGCTTACAAAGCTAGAAAAGGAGGTAATTATTAAGCATATACTTAATCTAGATTCCTAAGGATTTGCGCCTACTCTAGGTGCTGTACAAGAGATGGCTAACAGGCTTCTTACTAAGCGCAGCGCTCTACTAGCAGGTATTAACTAGCTATCTAACTTTGTTGCCTATACACTAGCAGTTAAAACTTACCTTAGCTAACTATATAATTACTAATAAGCAAAATGCAAAGATTTAGTAATTATAAGTAAGTAGTTTAAGCTTATAAAGGCTACATAATTAAAGTATAGAATTATAGATTAGGACATGTATAATTTTAACAAGACAAGCTTTTAAATAGGGGTTATATTAAGCTAAATAGTTATTATAGGCACAGATAGACATAATTAGCTAAAGGCTATACAGCTAGGTAACTGTAAATAAGTGACAGTTATTACAGGCATTAACGCAGATAAGTAGGCAATACCTCTATACATAATCTTTAAAAGCAAGCATCACCTATCTACCTAGTATAAAGATAAAGATATACTAAAAGACTAGGCTATTAGTGTTAGCAACAACAGCTAGATAACTAATAAACATAGAATTACATAGCTAGAGCACTTTAATCTGCATATAAAAGATTACTTAGTAGGCTTATAGTAGCTACTTATTTTTAATAGCTATAAAAGCTATTACTTTATTAAATTCTTAGAGCTCTGCAAGTAGAGGCGTATTATAGCGCTCTATATGCCAGCACACGCGTCACATATTCTACAGCTGCTTAACGTTAGCTGCTTTTTGCTGTTAAAGCGCGTGTATAGTACTAAGATTAGCTAGTTAATCTACTACTAGATTAACTATATTAATAAGCTAACCTTTCTACTAGCCTTTAAAGCAGCATTTAGTTGCTTAATTATAATAGATAATATCTGCGCAGGCTTTAAAGCTATAGGACTAGTCTTATTTAACCTAAAGCTAGTGCTTTTAAAGCTTAATATACAGCTACCTAATTAGCTAGCTACTCTACTACTAAATACTGCCTAGGAGGCTTAAACACCTAGTAATTTTTATAAAGTTAAGGCTTAGTTAACTCTACTATATAATTAAATTTAAAGGCATTAAAATTTATCTTTTTTTACTATACTTAATTTAGCAAAGTAGCTAAGTAAGGGCGCTACTAAGATAGCTTATGTTACTGTTCTATAGCGTAATTAAGCAGCTACCCTAGAGAGGGCCTATAAGGCAGCCACAAAGCGTAAGCAGCGTAAAAAAAAGTAAATTTAAAAAGAAAGAACTCTAATAAGTTATTAAGGCTTTAAGTTAAGTACTTAGAAGCTTACTAGTATAGCAGAAAGTAGCAAAATGCCTTAGAAAGAGTTAACTGCTAAAAGCAGCGCAGCGCGCGCACAGCGCTGCAAGCGCTGCAACAAGCCTAGGCATAACTCTTATACATGTAAGAATATTAAATAATTCTATAGTAGTTTATTTTATATAGTATATTTTTACATTGTTAAATTAATAGTCTTTAAAGTTAAATTTAGTAGTAGGGCAGAACACTCGCTTGTGTTGAACATTTGCTTGTGGACCATGTTATAGGTTTAGTTTAGATAGGTATTAGGCATAGAATTAGGTTACTATAGAGTTCTTTTATAAGGCTTCTACAGGTTTCTATAACAGTTTGTTGTATCTAGTTTATTTTATAAAGTATTTATAGATATGTTTTTTTTATTAAACTAGATCTATTTAACATCTTCTATAACATATTTTAGTTTATTATTTATAATAATAAGTTTAGGTAGCAGGTTTAGCTGTCTAAGTAGATAGTTAAATTTAGAGGCTACTTAGCGCAGCAATAATACATAGAACATAGGGTGTATCTTTATGCTGTTAGGTAGGATTAATTAGTAAGCATGCAATAAGACTATATAGGCTACTATAAAGGGGCTAAAGTTCTTCTAATTAAGTTTTTTTAATTATTAGTTTATTTAAATATTTCTAGTGTCTAGCTAGACCTTCTTGCTAGCTGCATACGCAGGGGTAGGAGTTTAAAATTAGTTTATATACTTTTGTTAAAAAGCTTAAGCTTATATAAGCTTTTTATAAACATATTTAAATATATTT